GGGCTCATGGCGGCCTGTGGGGCTGGGGCTGGCGGGCGGCGTGTGCAGGTGGACAGGCTCCAGCACAGCCTGATGAAGGCGGAGGATGACTGCAAGGTGGAGCGGAAGCGCACGCTGAAGCTGCGGCACGCCATGGAGCAGTGGCCCAGCCAGGAGCTGCTCTGGGAGCTGCAGCAGGAGAAGGCGCTGCTGCAGGCCCGTGTGCAAGAGCTGGAGGCCGCCGCCCAGGTGGGAGTCTGTAGGCGCAGAGGGGGTCCAGGGGGCACTGGGGGGGCAAGGGTTCCCTGCCATATGCCCCCCATTTCTCCCCCCCACCCCAGGATGGGAAGCAGGACAAAAGCAGCACCTACATCCAGGTGCTGGAGGAGGACTGGAGGCAAGCGCTGCGCGCGCACCAGGACCAGGCCAGCACCATCTTCTCTCTGCGCAAAGACCTGCGCCAGGCTGAGGCCCAGCGAGTCCGGGTACGGGCAGGGCCACGGAGGGGGCAGTGAGCAGGGGCCCCCAGGGACCTTCCGGGACCAGTGGGCAGGGCCAGGGGCTGAGTGGCATGTCCCACAGAGCGTGGAGGAGAAGGAGATGTTTGAGCTGCAGTGCCGGTCGCTGCGCAAAGACTCCAAGATGTACAAGGAGCGCATGGAGGCCGTGCTGCAGCAGATGGAGGAGGTGGCCATCGAGAGGGACCAGGTAGGACACGGCCACCCGCGCCTGGGAGTCCAAGCTGCGTGCCCGCCCAGTGCCCAGCCAGCCTCCAACCTCCCTGACCCCCCAGAGGTTCTGGTGGCCCCGGGCCTTCCTGGGTGCCGCAGCTCATGGCTCCCTCTGGGGCTCTCCCTGGGCCCGTTTGCGTCCCTGTGCCAGCGCTCCTTCTGTCTCCTTTTGTCTCTCTCCCGTGTCTCTCTGTCTCTGTCGCTCCCCTGTGCCTGCATCTCTCCTCTCTTTGCAAGACCACCACTCACACGAATCAGGACCCACCTCCCAGGGGGCCTGACGGTCACCGAGGCCCTCTGCAGAGACCCTCCTTCCTTCCACGGTCATGGCCGCAGGGTCAGGGGTCAGGACCTCGGCATGTCTTTGTGGGGGAGGCTGATCTCCCTCCCCTCCTTCACTCCATCCACTGCCCACGCCCCACCTTGAGCCCCTGACCAAAGGGGAAGTGTGCCCTGGCCCTCCTGCTCTGGCTGGACTTGGCCAGAAGTGGAGTGAGGCCGGCCGGACTCCAGGGACTGTGTCCGACCTGCCTGCAGGCCATTGCGACGCGGGAGGCGCTGCACACGCAGCACGCGCAGGGCCTGCAGGAGAAGGACGGGCTTCGGAAGCGGGTGCGTGAGCTGAGCGAGAAGGCCGACGAGTTGCAGCTCCAGCTGTTCCAGAGGGAGGGCCAGCTGCTGGCCGCCGAGGGCCGGCTGAAGCAACAGCAGCTGGACGTGCTTGTCCTGGTAGGCCACGGGCGGAGGTGGGGGGCATGTGCAGGCACGGGGGGGCGAGGTTGCTGGGAGCCCAGGGCCCGGGCAGGAGCCTGACTAGCGTGAGCTTGGTCTGCTCATCAGCCACTAGTCCCTGGGGACCTGAACCCCATCTTCTTGTACGATGCTGGGTTGCCAAGTCCTCACTCAGACACAGGGTTCAGGGCCAGCTCAAGAGTGGGCTGGGCATGGTTTTAACCAAGGTGACGTCCACTGGGGGAGGTGGGGGGGGTAGCATGGTCCAGGACTGGCCTGGGGACAGCTTTGCCATAGCTACCGAGCCCTTTCTGCACCCACAGAGCTCCGACCTGGAGGACAGCTCCCCCCGCAGCTCCCAGGAGGTGAGTGATCACCCTCCAGCCAGACAGCTGCCCTCCCACCCTCTGAGCCAGCCCTCCCCCCACTTATCTTGGGGTAGGTATGCTCAAGATCAGGGGTCCTGGGGGCACAGTGGTCTCGCTTTGGGCTGCTAACTGAAAGGTCAGCAGTTTGAAACCACCAGCAGCTCCTCAGGAGACAGACGAGGCTCTCTAGTCTCTGGAACCCCACAGGGCAGTTGTACCCGGTCTTATGAGGTCACCATGAGTCGGAGCCCACACAAGGGCAGACAGTGAGAGAGCGCAGTGTACCTCCCACCCTCACCCCCTGCCACAGGCTGCAGAGCATATGTCCCCCGGGCCTGTGGGCAGTGGGACCGGTGATGCTGGGCATGGCACAGGGAGGTGACCAGTAACCCCTGTCCTCCAGCTCTCGCTGCCCCAGGCCCTGGAGGAGGAAGTCCAGCTCTCGGACACAGGTGAGGAGATGAGCTGGGTGCCTGGCCGTAACACAGGGCCCAGGGCGGCCTGGTCTTGGGGGCTCGGGCTGTGCCCTCGCCAGCAGTGAGCCTCCTCTCACGAGGAGTAGACCAAGTCCAGAGCAGGCACCCTGGCCTGGTGCGTGTGATCCCCAGACACGCACCCCCCGTGGTCCAGTGGCACCGGGGGCCCATGCAGTCAGAGCTGGGGCGGGTCTGGGCTCCTGCGCCTGGGTGGGGGCTGTGCTGGTCCAGGGACAGGGTGGATGGAGTGGGGTGAAATGGTGACTGTAGGCTGGGGCAGGAGGTGCTGACAGGTGGGGAACCCAGGAATCTCGTGCTCAGGGAGGCCTGGCGAGAGGAGGGCCAGCCCAGGAGATTTCTTGGGGAGCCAGACTTCCTCATGGACAGGCCTGACCCCACCTCTTGCGCAGGAAGGGGAAGAACTGCAGAATGGAGAAGTGGTGGGTTGTCTGTCCACTGCTGCCCGAAAGACATGAACTTGAGGTCGCAGAGTCCCACGTGGGGCCGGAATGGGAGGGGCCCAGAGAAGTGGGCACAGCATGCAGACTCCCTACCGTGACCCTGGCCTGGTCAGCAGAAGGGGCTCGCTGGGGCCAGCCTATTCCCAGCAGCCCCTGCTCTGGCCTGTCTCAGGGTCTACTGGGCCGAGGCCCCCAGGAGCTGGGGGTGCTGACAGCAGGACTCTGCATGCAGGTAGCCAGGCGGAGACCCAGAGCCTGGAGAAGGAGCCTCACTCACTGACCCCAAACGTGAGGACCCCCGTGGGGCTGCACAATGGTTTGGCATAGGGTGGCCACAGGGTCTGTCTCCAGGTCAGGGAATGGTTGGCAGGAACGCTCCTTCTGGCTAGCGGGGGTGGGGGTGGGTGGCCCCGCTAGGGCCTCTCGGGACAACAGCCCATGTGGGCAGGCTGGGGAAGGGCTTGCCACAGCTGGACACTGCCCTCCCAGCCCGCTAAAAAGCGGTGGCGCTGGACAGCTGAGGGCCCTGGCCTCCCACAGCTGGGTGGCCGCGGCCTGAGTCTCACACCCTCCAGGACACAGGCCTGAGCGGCGGGGAGCCCCCGGAGAAGGAGCGGCGGCGCCTCAAGGAGAGCTTCGAGAACTACCGCAGGTGCGCGCGCCC